AGGTATAAATTCTTCCACAGGTTTACAACCATTGAAGAGAACTCAATGATATGTGCTCAAATCAAAGGGAAAAATTTAAAGTAAGAGAATAAGATAATAACATAACAACTTAAGTGATAATATTTGATTTTAAAAATAACACTTGGGTAAATGAAATTCTAAGGTGTCTCTTTTCTTCAGAGAAAGGGTATATCCATTAAAACATAAAGGCGCAAAAACAAAGCAAAACAACAGCCCAAATAATACCAAATGAAAACAAGAGGGGAATGGAAAGGATTGGGGGAAAAAAAAGACACAGCACAGACATCCCCTAATCCGGCAAAAGCCAGAGAGGGAGACGCCATGACACTTGCTCGCAGGACAATAGCCAAACCCCCACCGTCTTTTATTGATAATTCTTTAGTGAGCCAGATATTGGACTGTTGAGATCTTAGGAATCTCTACTTTTGAAGAGTTCATTCGATGCTTTGAGTTCTCCCTGGAGTTCAACAGTACTGGTTCAATATAACAGATACCTAGCTAGATTCATTTATTCTACTATAATAAAATCAAGCGGAAGGGGGAATAGATTGAATATAGTTATCCTAAATTGAAGAGTACTGGAGATTGGAATAAAAGCCTTGGTGATGAAAACATTTTGTTTTTGTTTGCTAAATCTAGCTTCCTGAGGGCTGCTTGCATTAACGCGTTGGGGGAGACATCATAAACCTAGTTTATCTTTTTTTTTTTCCCCAACAAACGAAGCAGAGTAAGTGGTACATAAAGGTGAATCTGAAAAACAATTCTTCAAGACAAATTATCAGTTTCACGAAAATGAAAATACCTTTACGGTTAAAAATAGGAAACTTTATATGAAAAAAAAGAAAAAAGAAAATACCTTATCCTTGCCCTGGTACCGATGGGGCCAGCGTTGCCTTGCTTCCTGGTCGGGAACTGGTTCTCCGAGAAATCTCGCAGTAGGCTCATCAGCAGTAGCACGGGTCTTTGAAGAAGGAAGCAGCTTGTCTGCCTCACGCTCCAGCTCCTCTGTCTTCTTGAACTTCTTGGAAGACTTGCCAGAGGCTGAAGCAGAACCGGTGTTGGACTCTGTTCCGCGCTTGCTCGGCATGGCTGATGCACCGTAGGGGTAGATCGCGGCGGAGGAGAGAAGCAGGGTTGTATTCTGGCCACCACCACGACAAGCAGATCAGAAGGATTCTTATGTAAATGATGAATGCATATAGAAAGTGAGAGAATGGAAGAATGATAAAGGCATTTATAGAAGGCGCTGAATTTGAAGATTGTGGTAGGAGGGCGGGAAGGCAAAATTTAAGGGATGTTGACTTTAATGACCTCGTGAACGTTAGGGCTTCCGGCGTGTTTGGTTGTGGCCCAAACTAGTGAGACACAGTTTTATGATATCTCTGTCCGCCGTTGATTAAGGGGCAGAATTACAAACTTATATCGTATAAAAATGTAAAGTATTTTTAATTAAATTTTATTTTTTAATAAAAGAATTATTTATTTTTTAATTAATTTTATTTTTTTATATTATTTTTATTAAACATTTTACAATAAATATAAAGTTATTATCAATATAAGTATTTTTTTAAAAAAAAACAATAATTACACCTTAAAATATTAAAAATCCCTTATATTTTTTAATGTAGGGAGTAAATAATTTTTTTTCATTCAATGTCTGATCCAAAAAAATTCATCCAATGTATTTAAAATATTTTAAATTTTGTCAAAAAAAATAAATTATTTGTATCAATATAACAACTGAAACTCATTTGCAATATAGATTTTTTGTAAAATATGTGAAATTTTAAATCGCTTGTCACGGACTAATGGATTTGAGTGCCTAGTTATGTCAGGCAGAAAAGGACACAGGAAAAATGAGACACCTGAGATATATAAACTTCCCAGTGTTTTGCTTGGGAAGTAATTTCCCAAATTCCATGTGAAATGCTGAAATTGGGCTTCACACTTCTCGAGAACTTATACTTATTTTTCAATCAAACGGTATTTACTTTTCATAAAGTTTTATTTCCTTCCAAACATCCCCCATGCTAGTGTGTGTGAGCGCAAACAGCGCGTTGTAAGGATTCTATTCAATTTCAACGAGAGAGTCAATAGCGTATGTAACAAAAGGAGGATGAATCTCATGTGTTTTTCAAATCCGTGAGTTATTATCTTTTTTTCTTTTTTTGATGTATAACTTATAGGTGTAGGAATTCAATTTGTATATATTATTAATTTCGATCACGAATTTAGAGAAAATGCCTCCTCCTCTTGGTTTTTTTTTTTTTGGTGCTAATTTCCTAAAATGGTAAGAAGCCTGGTGCAATGTATGAGAGTCTGGAAATATGAGCGCATGTTTCAAAAAAGAGACAATGAGCATTAACTGTCTAAGAAATGATATTTTAATAATAATTGATAAATAAATGTGTGAATTGATTTCAGCTGAGGTTGAAACGTGAACTTGTTAATGAGACTAAGTACTAATGCAAGAGATAAAATAATAATAAATAAACGAAATATGGTTAGTCTCGTGTGGTTTCATTTACCTGCATCATTATCTTCTTCTCTGAATGCATAACTTTCAATTGTAGAAATTCTATTTTGCGTCTATTATTAATCTTTACTATGAATTAAGAGAAAAAAAAATTTACCACATTGCAAAACAACGAGAGGCCCTATGCAAAGCATAAAGGCATAGAACATGAGCGCATATTTCAAAAATTTAAATCAGTAAGCATTAGTTGTATAAGAAATGATATTTTAATAATAATTGATCAAAACATGTGCAAATTGATCTCAATTGTTAGAATGTGATAAGCATGCCAACTTGTTAAGGGAACTCATACACAATACGCATACGAGAGATGGAAAATAATAAATAAATACGAGTAAATAAATAAAATACAGTGAATCTTGCGCGTGGTTTCATTTCTGTGTGCCATTATCTCTTTTCTATGAATGCATAGCTTTTAATTGTAGCAAATCAATTTGTATATATTACTAATTTCGACTGAGAATAAGAGGAAAATAATTAGTTTTACCAATTTGTCTAACAAGAATAGGCCTTGTACAATGTATGAGGGTCCAGAGCCACGAGCTTGGAAAAGAAAGTCTGGAAGCATTGGCCCTACAAGAAACGATAACGATAATTTTATAATAATTGATCAACACACGTGTAATTTATCTCAGCTGTTAAAACACGATGAGCATTTTAACTTATCAAGGGAATTCCATATGCGATCAGTGGTAGAGCTCGGACTAAAGTTAAGAGATACAGGATAATTTAATAAAAAATTAATATTTTTTAAAAAAATAATAATTATCTTATAGGACTAAAATTATAATAACATGAATAGATCAATTATCATTTAAAAAAAAATTATAATGATCAAGTTGATATAATTTTTTATATAAATATGTTCTTCATATCTTATATAAATGATTAAATTATTTTATATTTAATAAGTTTTTGAATTTAAATATTTTTATTAGTTAAAAGGGGGCAAAGGATCAAATAATAAGAGGTTAAAACGTTATAAAACTTTTACACCATACTTATAATATTTTTTAAAGCAAGGGGATGCATTCCCCCCTCCCCCCCATGTGGCTCTGCCACTGTACGGATGCTCATGTAAGAGTAAAAGATAATAAATATTTCAAATGCAGGAATCTCTTGTGCAATTATGAAAGCCTTTTATAATGTATGGAAGTCTTGACTTTGGCAAAAAAAAAGAAGAAGAAAAAGCAGCAGCAGCAGCAGCCTCGAAACACGAGCGCGTATCTAAAAAAGAAAAACATTAGATGTATGAGAAACGTTATTGTATTGTAATTGATAATTGATAAATACACAAGTAAATCGATGTTAAAATGTTATAAGTCTGCCAGCTTGTAAGATATTACCTACCGTACTCATTCAAAGAGATGGAAAATAAGAATATATTGACTCCTGTGTGTGATTTATCTTGTGTCATAATCTTCTCTCAAAATTTATAGTTTTTAATTGTAGGAATTCAATTTTGTATATGTCATTAATCTTGATCGAGAAATACAAGAATTTTTTACCATTCTGTGATGTGAAACAATGAGAAGCCTCTTGCAATGTATGAAGGCTTAAAAACATGGGCACATATTCTGAACAAAGAGAGTCAGTAAGCATTAGCTATATAAGAAATAAAATTTCTATTATCATTTATTAATACATGGTAAATTGATTTCAATATTAAAAGGTCATGATTCAAATTATAAACTCTTAAAGTTCAAATTAAAAAAAATTATAAACTCTTAAACTTAATCTTAAGATTTTTCAGGCAAATATTAAAAAAGTGGGTGTCGCATGTCATTTATTAAAAAACAATAGTAAAAAAATTATTTAAGATGATTTGAACACATATAGAAAAAACCATGAGAGGCACTAGTAAGAAAAATGAAATGAATAATCTTAAACTCTATAAAAAAAATGATAGAAGAAGATCTTAAAAACACTTATAAAAATTGTTGAACAAGACTTATTAATTAACAATATTATTAAAAATTTGATTAATGATAGAGCACAATAACTTTGCTTGATCCATTTAATCGATCATACTTAATGAGATAAAGCTTATTGATGTTGTAATATTTAGGCTGGGTATGCTTCGCCTAAATTACTACCTCTAATGTTGCTACCCCCATGTGATGTCAACTATTGTACAAATTAAAATTCACATTAAGAGAGTTGCTCACATTTAATACCTTGAATAGAATTGCCTTTAATAAAAAAATATCTATGAATGAATTATAAGAAAAAAAGAAAACACTGTGCAAGTTCAAATAAACCGAAACATCAAAAAGGTCAAGGCCAGAAAGAAACATTGTGTCATTTTAGGCAACATTTTCTCTTCCAGTTTTTCAGTGAAAAGACAGTCATAATTATAAACCAACCCCCCCTTTTTGGAATGGTGAAAACTGCAACTAAAACAAATCAGATCACGTAGCGTTCCTATGCAAGTAAACTATGGTTTCAGTGAAAAGACAGTCATAATTATAAACCAACTTCGGTTCTAAAAATATTATACATGTAACATGAATGCATGATCAATGAGACGACAAGCTATGCAATATTCAAAGAAACAAACAAGGCTCCACCAAGAAAAACTCAGAGTAGCACAAAGTAAGTCAATGTATGCATCCAGGGATCTTCCAACTCTTATTCAAGTGCATCACTCTGACTACACACATATGGCAATGATGCATCTAACTTTTTTCCAATTAAATGATGAAGAAGCACTCCTGCTGCAACACTAACATTTAAGCTTTCCACAGCTAAAAACGATTGGAACTCTTTACCAGAAATCTCACAATTCAAACCAGTAGCTTCACCATCTAATTCACTAGCAGCTAAGTCAACGGGAATATTCCCAGGAATCCTAACTAAATGAGTACATGATTTCTCAACCAAAGGTCTCAAACCGGTGCCCTCACTGCCCAAAACAAGAATAGTAGGTGGACCAGGACCAATCTCATCCAAGGAAACAGCTTTTGAGGACACAGAACCCCCAAGAACTCGCCAACCGTTTTCAGATGAAGACACTAGAAACTGCATCATATTCTTGCAATATCTGAGCTCCATTAATTCAAGAGAGCCTGCACTTGCTTTGCTTACAACACCGCTCAACGGGGCAGAGTTTTTTGCACATAACACTATCCCAGAAGCTCCAAAATAATAAGCAGACCTAATTATGGCCCCCAAATTTTGAGGATCAGTAACCTCGTCCAAGGCTACCCAAAGGCAACCTCGCCCTTCCTCAACAGAAATAGGATCCATTTCTTTTACTTTTACCATCTCCAATGGTGAAGCATCTAACACTAAACCCTGATGAGGGCGGTTATCAACCACCATATTAAGGTCATGCTTCGATGCTTCTTTAACACTTAAACCAATATTTTCAGCAATCTTCAGAACTCTCTCGAATCCTTTCTTGTCCTTCTTCTTCCTGTTGTTGCTACTCAACTCCAGTCCTTCTTGCACGTACAATGCATAGAATTCTCTTCTTCCAGCTGATAATGCAGCCAAAACTGGTCCAACTCCATAGACTCCCTCACCAACAATCTTAGGCACAGTTGATTGTGCGGCCTCTTTCCATGTCCTTCTACCCCAATTTTCCTGCTTATTCCATCTCCGAAGCTCAGGTCTATCCGGTCTAGCTCTTCCTTGCGCCATCCCTTGAATGTATTTTTTATGTTATCCCACCTTGGATCGTCAATGGCCTCCTCTAATTCATCATCACCTGCTTCATCATCATCATCAAACTTCCCATGCCTGCCACCATAATCACTTCTCCGTTCTCCCACCATCTAATTGACCCGTTCCTACTTCCTTTAATTGCTACAGCAGAAATATCACCTGTTTTAGAAAAGTTACCTGCTGCTGCCTGGTAAGAAGAATGTCCAGATTCTGCCATTGTCAAATTCTCTAACCTTGGAATTGATTCTTCCCAAGAGGATCTGTAATTTACCTTCCCTGACCTCTTCAGTGATTCCTCCACAGCAGAACTGTTACCAAATTCCTTTTCCTTCTTTGCTGATTCTTCTTGAATGGAGCCCCCAATATTTGTCATTTTTGTCTTCCCAGACTCTTTAGCTTCCTTAGCTTCATTTGAAACTAACCAAGGAAGTTGCTTTCCCGCTCTTCCCACATTAATCCCTTCGTTAACTTTTCCAGCGTAAGAAGTTGACCAACTTCTCGGCCACAATGAAAAGCAATAACATCCAGAAATTTTTAGCGGCAACCCATACGAGACTTGCCTGCAACTCACTAGTTTTCCCATTTCCAAGGTCCCATGCAGCAATTCGGTTGAATGCTTCACTGGGTTCATCAAACAGAAGCTTCCGATTTTATTACTGGCCTTATGTGAACAAAAATTGGGATTCTTTAACATATGACTCAGAGAGGGTGTCGGAGTTGAACAAAATGGTAAATATTGGGTCTTTAGCGCGTGGGACGATTGGAAGCATTTGAATCCCGAAGAAATCTTAGCAACCCGCGGGAAACCCTGCGCTCTGGTCAGGTTGGTATACATTTTATACAACAACAACAAAAAAGAAAGAAACTGTATCTCGGAGAGTAAAGCCCAGAGACGAGTCTCAGGGCCGATAAAAGATAGATATAAGGAGAATCAAAATACCTACGCCTACCTGATATAGGAGTTTCGTGGGTTTCAGAGCTAAAATGGAAATATCTTATCCACTTTCCATTGCTAAGTTGGACCCCCTTCCCGACGCCTGAGCCGAGCCCGGGAATATTTAGGGAATTAGGGCAGTCGATCCGGTACACAACGACGCTGCTTTCTGAGATTAAGATGGTAATGCTGGTACAAAACAAAACTCTTGAGTATAATCCAACGAATGGCAGAAAAATGTTAGCAGGATTTTTTTAATTGAGGGGAATTACACTAAATCAAAGCACCTCTCTCTGCGAGATTCATTGACAATATTTCATTAAAATTAAAGGGTAAAATAACTAATTGATTCCTGAATTATAGGTGAATATTCTCAACTCTCAAATCATTTTTGATATGACGTCACAATTTAACTTTTAAAAATATATTCCTTTCGTTTAAAAATATAAAATATTTTTTAAATAGTTAAATATTAAAAAATATAAAATATTTTTAACTTTTTAAAGTGTAATTATTACTTTTTTTAAAGTGTTCCTATTGAATAATAACGTTATATTTATTGTAGGATATTTAATAAAAATAAATTAAAAAAATAAAGTTAGTTGAAAAGTAGATAACTATTTTATTGAAAGTAAGATTTAATTAAAAATATTTTTTATTTTTAAATGAAGGGAGTAGCAATTTACTTATACCCTTAACAAAACTAAGTTTAATTCAAAAATTACATAAATACGATTAAAAAAGTTTTATTGCTCACTATTTTAAATCTTTGAATATTAATTGAAGAGAAATGTTATATCAAAAATAAATTTATAATCTCAAACACCCATTTATTCATAATCTATATATCAATTTACTCTTTTACGCAAAATTAAAATTAAAATGGATTCGTTGGTGATTTTTGGAAAGCATTATAAATTATCAAAAGCAGCATAATTTTTCAAATACTTACTTTTTCAAATACTTACTTTGACAATGCACGAGTTTTTGTGGAAAAAAATTGTAATATAAACATGTGATGCATAACAAAATATCATAAGATATAATACGAGTACCATTTTAGATTCAAAGGATTTTTTTTTTTTAAGTATCAATGCTTCATATCACTTGGGCAAATAAAATTATAAAATCATAATATTTTTTTTAAATTATAATTTTCCTATTCAAGATCTTCAAATACATATACCATTATAAATTAAAGTTCTCTGTTTTAATATGTTAAGATGAAACCATCTTGGCCTAATCGTATTCAACTAATAAATAATACACCAAAGGCCTAATACTTATCCAAACCACTTCAGCTTCTGTAGATATTTACTTATGCAAAATAATTGTAATTTATTCTTTCATCCTTATCTTGAGCTACACGTGGCTCCCATCTGTGTATTAGGGTTTTTACCCTTCCCCTTTATGTAGCAACCATATTCATTGAGCCTTGTGTGCCTTTTACACATTTCCATATTTGTGTTTTCCTTATCTTGCTATTAGAGCTGACACAGGCTAGCTGCCATGGCTAACGAGAGGTCCCCTAAATTCAAAAACACCTTCGCATTTACAAAGTTCTCTTGTCTCTGCATCCAATTTGCCAAAACTCTTGACAAGGTTGTTTAGTCCTTCTCAAGGATGCTTGGTTAAGCTTGACTGAACCAAATTTACACTTTGGTCTACTCATCTTCTTCCTATCATTAAAGGCCATAAACTCAAAAGCTTCATTGATGACACCAGTATCTGTCCGCCTCAATTTATTGTGAAGAATAATGTCTCTAAACTCAATCCTGATTTTGAGAATTGGGTTGCTATAGATCAGCTTTTATTTGATTGGCTCTCGAACACTATAATTATAAATGTTTCTTTTGAAATGTCTAACATTTTCACCTCAATTGGTTTGTGGCATGCTACTCATAAGATTATAGGCACTCAAAACAAAGCTAGAATTCTGATGCTTTATGTTGAGCTCCAATAAACCAGAAAGGGGTCCTTATCTATGTAGGAGTATCTCATAAAAATGAAGAAAAATCTCTGATGGTCTTTCTCTTGTTGGTAGTCCAATACCACATTTAGACCTCTTGCTTCAAATCATGGCTGGTTTAGATAGGGAGTGTAACCCCATTGTGGTTCAACTTGCCCAAAAAAGAGGATATCAGCTAGATTGAGTTTCATTCTTCCCTTTTAACCTTTGAATCCTGACTTGATCAGCTTATGCAGATCACTCAAAGTAATGTGTCCTTTCAATTTGCTAATTTAACCCTTGCTAACTCATCTCATGGTAGTTAGTGAGGAACTCATGGTGGATGTTTTGCTAAAGGTCATGGTAGGTGTAGTGGTCGTAGGGGTAGTGACAAAACTCCTTATGCACTATGTGATAAACCAAGCCACCATATGAAGAATTGTTTCAAACACTTTGATCATTCCTTTAAGCCACCTACCATCTCTAAGAGTCTATTTGATGATGCCAATACCAGTCAAAATAATGTGTTCCATGCTTCACCAGAGGTTATTAATGATGAATCTTGGTATCTAGATAGTAGGGCTACAATACATGTCACTAATGATGCTTCCAAACTTGAAATGTAATGAAAAATGATTATAAGACCAAGTTATTTGTTGCAAATGGTCATGATATAAGGGTTGAACAAATAGGCTCTTCTAAGATTCAAAATGTCCCTGATCAAAAAGTTGTTCTCAAACATATTTTATATGCTCCTTTTGCTAAGAAAAACTTACTTAGTATTCCTAAGTTATATGTTGATAATGATGTTTCAGCATTTTTTAACTCTCATGGTTCTATCATGAGGAAACAAGGAACTCAAGCAACTCTGCTTTAAAGGGTGAGAAGTAAAGGAGGACTTTACAAACTAGATGTAGTGCGGGTCATTCAAATTAAACAACAATTTGGGACTTCTAAAGAGCCTCTCTTGGTTATACAAGTTGGACACAACAAGAATAATACTATTGGCCATTCTAGTGGCACTAGTTCTAGTAATTCTATTAGGAGACTTTGGCATTGTAGACTTTTTCACCTTAATAACAAGATTTTGAAACAAATCATTGGTGATTATAATGTGAAAATCAATGAGAAAAGGTGAACCTTTGTTTTGTCAATCATAAAAATATGGCAAGTCCTATTGTCTTCCCTTCAAGGTTTCTATTTCTCATACTTCTCACCCTCTTGACCTCATCCACACAAATTTATAGGGACCTTCCCCTTTTCAATATTTGAATGGTTATAGAAATTATATTTTATTTTTTGAATGATTTCAGTCACTATTGTAGGATTTTCCTTTAAAAACTAAGGATGAAGCTTTACATATGTTTCTTAAATTTAAGCAATATGTTGAAACTCAGTTTAAGAAGAAGATTAAAGCTATCTAAAGTAACTAGAAGGAGAATGTAGAAGTTTCACTAAAATAGTATAGAACGCTAGAATTCACTTTTATCATTGTTGCCCACATACTTCTTCCTCAAAATGGGAGAGCTAAAAGAAAGCATAGACACATTGTGGAGGTTAGACTAGCTTTACTTGCTCAAGCTCACATGCCCTTGTTTTATTGGTGCAAAGCATTTCATACTACTACAGAATTGATTAATAAACTTCCTACTCTTGTTTTAAGAGGCATTTCTCCCTATCAAAGGCTCTTCGTTAAATATCCATAGTATGGCAATTTAAGGGTATTTGGTTCTGCATGCTATCCTTGCCCAAGAGCCTATAACAACTATAAGCTCCAATTTCAAACCATAAGGTGTGTATTTCTAGGGCATAGTAATCATTATAAGGGATTTCATTGTCTCAGCCTTACAGGAAAAGTGTACTTGTCTTGAAATGTTGAGTCTAACAAGCTATCACTTCCTTTTACAAATGGTGGTTTTCTTAATAAAAGGAAGGCACCTGATGTGAAAATTCATCCACAGTAATTTTTTAAGGTTTCATTAGCAAATGTACCTTCTATTTATTCAACTGTCAATCAAAGCATAGATTCAAACTCTTTGAATTCTCAAAATTAACTTGTACCAATATCTCTTTAATCAATAATCAAGAACTTGGTTCTCCCCAGTCTAGTTCATGAGTTTGAATTGAAGAAATAAAGGAAGACAACACAAGTTTTGACCCTACATAGATTCAGTCTTCATGTACTAAGGTTTAAGTAAGACATCAGACCATATCTAATTTTTCAGCAGCACCTGATTCCACATAGAGCATGTTATAGCAGATGAAACTAGAAGAGACAAAATGATGTACATAACAAATATCATATTGTCACTAGGAGCAAATTAGGTATTCTCAAATAAAAAACTCCTTATGTTAGATTGATAACTGATTCTGAAAATAAGCTTGTTCTTGAACTATTACAATTCAACAATATTTGGAGAAAAGCCATGATTAATGAGTTTGATGCTCTTGTAAAAATAAAACTTAGACCTTGGTACCTTATATAAGAAAAGGAAGACCTATAGACTATAAATGGGTATCTAAAAGTAAGTATAGCCCTAATGGTAACTTCCTAAAGGCTAAAGCACACTTAGTTGCCAAGGGCTTTTAACAGCATCTAGGGATAGCTTATGATGAAATCTTTAGCCTTGTTTTACCCTTGTTTTAAAGCCTTCTACTTTAGGATTCATTCTTATTATGGCTATGAGTTGTAAATGGCAACTTAGACAAATTGGTATTAACAATGCCTTCTTAAATGGTTTTCTTCATGAAAAAGTTTTAACGAAGTAACTTGAAGGTTTTACTGATAAAAGATTTCATAATCATATTTGCTTACTCAATAGAGCAATTTATGCTTGAAACAAGCTTCGCGAGCATGGTTTAAAAGGCTAAAAAATACTCTACTTGGTTGGAATTTCATTCATTTTAAATGAGATAGTTCTTTGTTCTTTCTCAAGGTGAAAAATAGTATTCTATTTTGCTTGGTGTATGTAGATGATAGAATCATCACAAGCAATAATTCTTACACGCTTATAATGCTTGTTAAGGATCTAAATGCCTATTTCCATTTAAAAATCTAGGAAATCGTCATCATTTTCTTAAAGTAGAAGCCTATAGGGATTCTATTAGACTGTATCTCAGGCTAGATAAGTACATACTCAAAATATTAAAGAAATGTAGGATGGAAAAGTGTGTGCTAGTGCCCACACCAATCTACCTATCTACTTATGACAGTGTTCCACTTTCGAATCCTACTCTATATAGATAAATTGTTAGTGCTCTATAGCATTTGGTTAATACTCAACCAGATATTATGTATGCAGTCAATAAACTCAGCAAATTTCTTCAATCACATATTGATAAGCATTTGCAAGCAAGCTATGAAGAAATTGTTACGATACCTAAAAGGTTCTTCTTATTTAACCATGCACATTAGATTGAGCTCCAACTCAATCTTTAAGGCTTTTCCAATGCTGACTGGGCTATGCGTGTGGATGATAGAAAATCATTTTGGAGGGCATTGCATTTTTTTAGGTAATTCTTTGATTGCATGGTTTGGTAAAGAGCAATGGACAGTAGCTAGGTTAAGCACAAAATTAGAATATCGATCTTTAGTTGATCTTGCGACTACTTACTTGATTGCAATCATTGATTTTTGAAATTATATTGAAACTTGATCACACACCTGTAGCTTGGTGCGACAATTTGGGTGCTTCTACTCTTGCCTCAAATCCCGTGTATCATGCAAGGACCAAGCACATCAAGCTTGATGTACACTTCATCAGTGACAAAGTAATGAACAAGCAGCTGGTTGTTCAATATGTCCCTTCAATTGAAAACACGCCTATTATTTTCACTAAGGCAATGAATCACTCACAATTTCTTACTCTTAGGAACAAACTTAGGCTTCGAAAGTCTCCAGCCTCTCATTTGAGGGGGCATGTTAAGATGAGACTAGATGAAACTATCTTGGCCTAATCATATTCAACTAATAAATAATACAAAGGCTTAATACTTACCCAGCCCACTTTAGCTTTTGTAGATATTTATTTGTATAGAATTGTAATTTATTCTTTTATTCTTATCCTAAGCCACACGTGGCTCCCCTTTGTCTATTAGGGTTTTCACCCTTTCTCTTTATATAGTAACAACATTCATTAGGCCTTGTGTGCTTTTTACACATTTCTGTATCTGTGTTTTCTTCATCTTAATTTAACTAAACTCATCCAACAGCTCTATATGTAACTCCGTTAATATAATTATTTTTCACATAGAGAAGTTGAATAAGATATTACAGTCATTTAGACTTGATCGAAGATAATCAAATTATTGAGCATCGTTCCTTAAAAAAAAAAAAAATTCAACTCATTGAGCTTTGCCCACAAAACACAACTCTCCCCCGATAACTTATGCCCGGAAATAAAACCATTCATCGTGTCCCGATTTATTCTCGAGCGAAAACAGATTACACTAACACTCCGGATAATGTGACTCCTCAAGTATAGTTTACATTTCCCACTTTTATTCCTGCAACCAAAAATATAGCAGCCACTACAAGTTGCAGTAAAAATAAACAGAGTCCTTGATTAAACTTTCCAAGAGGACTCCAGCACAGTCCCGTGGTTAAAAGCTCCGTCGAAACTAATGATTTATGCTAGAAAAAAATGAACATATTACACATCTTGACGTCGGCTTTAATCAAATTTTCAGGACTCTTCAAATCCCAAATACTGGGAATGAGAAGCCGCGAGCAGCGCTGCTCCAATGCCAGAGCCATCGTTAGATTGCTCAATGGCGATGGTCTCAGCCACCTCATCTCCCAACAACTCCTTCATGGTACTCTCCAAGCAACTTCTGAATTTAGCGTAGTGTTCGAACAATCCTCCATCCAATGCTATCACTGTCCTCTGCTTCTCCCCAGCCTTTACCGTGTCCCTTCCCATTTTCTTGAGGATGCCTAGAATGCCAGCAGCAGAAAGGCGGCCCCACGAGTAGCAACAATGTCACAGACTTCAAGAACAATCTTCCTTGTCTTAAGGGATACATTAGGAACCTGACCAAAAGGGGGAAAACCACTGAACTTTCTCCACTTATCATTAATGTGTGTGTGTGCTGCTTCTAGAAAATGAATTGGATGACATGCAATAAGTGAGGATGACATGTGCTAAGTACGACCAGAAAACCTGCACATCAAGTATGAAACAGAAACTAAAGCGTACGTACCTCTAGTATATCCCTCAATTTGTCTCCAACCACTTTCAGATCTGGAGAGGTATCATCATGCATAGCAGACATGTCAGGTGTCCTATACATCCCAAAACAGATTAGTGAAAAAGCTCAAAAGCTTAAACACGCCATTAAAAAGCGATGTGCTCCACTGCATAGTTATACAATTCAAAAATGGATGATTAAAAAATGAAAATATGATCAGCCACAAGTTTAAAGAAACATGCAAAAGCAAGTTTCCACCAGTACTTTTACATTTTGTACAACTGTCCTGTAACCCCCCCCCCTTTTTTCTTTTCTTTCTCAGAATAAATTTAGAACATGGGTACACACTTGAGTTTCCAAAAAATGGCAGGAATCAGAATTGGAATAACTGAAATGAGAAGTAAAGGAAAAAAAAAAATTGTATGCTCACTTTGCTAGAAGTATCAAGGAAGAAATGAAAAAGGAGTTGCCATCACTATTTTTTTTAATCAATACGGGAAGCCATAATCAATTCAATCAGAATAATGTCTTGCAATTCCTTTCCTATCAATATCAACCAACTTAAAGACACAAGGGGGCGCACGATCATAGGTACAAAAATTAACACAACTACCATGGCCCAACTTAGCTAGCCTATGAGCACATTCAATTACCTCTCCATAATCAAAGTTAACAGAACAGGCGGAGATATCAAAATTCAAAAAGAAACATTTTGGCTTCCTCAATGATGAGCTGCCGTCACTAGGACTTTTACAATTTCTTATATCTCAAATTAGGAAGCAGAATGAGATAAAATTAGTGATGTCAACAATGCAAACAAAAATGAAAGATGTAATGATCCTCTGCTCTCATGGTAAACATAAAAAAACTCAATACCACATACCCCAAATGTGAGAATCACTACATCCACCACAAATTTCAGAAGTCATAACTCTTAACCTCATGATTTAAATTACCCACCCCCCTCATAAACATGATTGATTTATCTCTTATCCACATCTTGATCATCGTATTTTTATCTTTATTTTTTTTTAATCCATTCTTTTCCAGCAAGCAAACAGGACCTAAGTGTAAACAGGGATGGTGCATTTTCAACACTGAAACTACAGCAACTAATAAGCAGGATAAAGCATCAAACAAAACCATTGCTGACCAGGTAGATGCCCAAGCAAACACCTCTCCAGCAACAAAGAAGGCAGATACCAATATAAACAATCGTCAACCTAGGCTTGTAGATGTTGAGGTTTAATTGTATGAATTATCACACCTAAGTATGAACGGTTGTTCTAACTTTGGAGGGACAGTATCTCCAAAGAAGTCAGCTTCTTCAGCCATCTTCAATAAAACTCTCCGTACAATCTCCCCCAAGTACATGCCAGAAATTATCTTTTCAAATATCTGCAAATAATAGTGGCAAAGTGTTACATAGATGGCACATTTGTCATTTAAATTCATGGTGGATGATCAGTACCTGCTCTCCAGGGTTTAAGCTCTCTTCATCTAACAAGTGATCGTATTCTGTCAGAGGAAGATGTGAGGACCGGAAATTACCCCACTCCATGTTTATAACCTATGTAATTAAAAAGTAATGTGTTTGACTCAACACCAACTTATCACCAGCTGTCTCTTAGTCTTGTCATAAAGACAGGTCTATCACACAGGAAATTAGACTTACAACATCCTTACCATCTCCCCTGATTTTGGCAGAGGACCATGCCACTTTGGAATAGCTTGTGCACGCTCTACATATGCAGCATTTGTTCCAGTACCAAGAATCACAGCAGCAACGACATCCGGATTGTGGAATCTGCCTCCAGCTAAAGTTCCGATGGTATCATTAACCTGTATCAAATCACTATTATGTATTGTTTTCTACCTGAGACATCAAATTACCAATAAAAATGATAGTAAATACAAAAACCTCATAACTCCAAATTTTTCCTCAGACATAGAATGAGAATCATCATCCTCATAGCCAGACTTGGAGGGGGGAAAAAAGAAAAGAAACTAAAGGGATGGAAGTGGAACTGACTAGAGCTGAGACCCGCATGTCAATGCCAATTTTTCCCATAGACTTGGTTAGTTCTCTCACCACATCTTCCCCGATCTACAAACAAGCCAAACAAAGTCCATTAAGGAATAACAATCAGATTATTATACCTGAAGAGTCGATGCTGAGAACTGAAGAGAAGATTACTAAAAGATAACTCTTTCTGTGAAAAGATGTAAATATGATATGCATGTTTACCATAACTTAGTTAGCATAGGAGTATCTAAACTACAGAAATTCAGTACAACAAAAGATAGGGGGTTGTTAGTGTCTCTAACAGATAGAGAATACTTATGCATGTATTGAAGTCTTCACAACAAAACAAGAATGGTAATACAACGAAAGTTGAACACAAACGAATCAAAGTAAAAAGATTCACCGCATCTTCAATATTGAATCCCTTGGTCCATTTAATTAGTGTCCCAGAAGCAATTGATGTCTGCCTCACTGGGAATGAGAATGTAAAACCCAGTTCTCTTTGTCTGCCTGGGGGCGGATGAAAAGCTTCAGGTTCTGAATCAATGAATCTTGCAAGAGCTCGTGCTATAAAATCAAACAATGCCTGAAATCACTTGAATTAATGCATCTCAGTGGCACATTATTGTATGCAAATTAATTGGATACAGTTTCTCATCAGAGGCTTACCTCTGAAGAGCCAGTCATCAAATGAGGAGGAATTGAAACTTCTTTAGACTCTGCGTGGACAACTCCCTTTTCTTTTCCTCCCAGCTGTACACGAAGCACACGAAAATTTGTCCCACCAAGATCCAAAGCATAGAAGATTCCTTTCTCATCCCTAGAAACAATGGATAAAATATGGGATTTGCACAACAAGGAACAATGCTTAAAAAATTTCAAACTCACATGGCTGAAATTTATATTTCTCCCATCAAATAAAATGTGATACAATATCGTATCATTCAAGTAGTATATTTCTACATTCTGGCTGTAATTTTTTCACGACACAGAGAAAAGTATGCAATGATTGGTGATACATTGTCTAATACACATCTAGTCAGTGACTATCACCATAATCATGATTGATTGAAAGATAATTACTGGATAACTAACAAAAATAAAAAAAATGGTTACACATGGCTACTCGGTGAAGACTCAAGAATTCAGTCAGCCAAAATCAGCGAGCTCAGAACCTTCAGAAGTTTAATCAAAATGGTCGAGATAATTAATTAAATGAATAATAACCAAGAAATGCGAAGAAAGCAAAAAAGGTGAAAGTCTCCATTTTCTAAAAGAACAGGCCTAGTTATATGAGAGTGGATCGATCTAGATAAAAACTGCTCAAAAGGATGCCCAAAAATATATCTACATAACCGGAGGGAACAGAAGCGCCAGCAAGCAAAAGAGTTATCAACCCTAGATAGATAGCTCTTGAATCCGAAAGGAAACTTGATCCTTGCATATCTCAATCAATTAGCCCTCTCTATTCAGTAGACTTGCATAAATTATCTTCTGAGTTTAGGAAAGGACACTTGAGTTGAACAGGAAGAGAGGAAAAACGCGATCCTTTTTTTGCATAAATTACTTAGACATAGTAATCGTTCCAATCAAAAACGCGTTTCCGTTTTTTGAGAATTGAACAGGAAGAAAATAAATTTACGAACCCAGACGGGAGATTATCAACATAGCTGATCAACATCTTGAGCTTGCTCCCACCTTCAGATGCGAGACCAGCGTGCATCTCAACGTCCATGGCGTCAGCAACCTGCTTAAGCTTGCCAATTGGGGTCCCACACTTCTCCTCTAACTCTTTCAGTATAGCTATGGCACGAGACAACTTCCCCGAGCTCCTCATGCGGTGGCGCACCAGAAGCGCCGCCGCCGCACAAACCGCTGCCGCACAAGCCGCCGCAGCACAAGCGATTGTTGCTCCCACTGCCACCTTACCCATCATCAGCTTCACCCCCAATCACGCTCCTTAACCACGTTAACAAAGACCCACGCGCTTACTCAATGAACCGAATACCGTCAAAGCAGCAAACTTTTTCTTCGGAGAAGGAAATCCCGATGAGCTCAGGTCGAACTTCGGGGAACTCTTGGTGGCTCAAAAATTCTTATTAATGCTCACGGTCTTGACGAGGGTCAGAAAATGACAGCACCACAGAGAAGGGGACGAAGGTAAAAACTAAAAAGAGGAGGAAACAGAAAATTGGAAAATAATTAAATTAAATTAAAGTCAAATAAAAAAGTAAAAAACCCTAGATCAGAGTGGTTGAGGTAGAATCCTTTCGGAAAACTATCACGTTCTATTGCAGGATATGAGGTAACAAACAGAGATAGTCAAATAACAATAGTAATAATTAATAAATATAAAAATTTGTAACACGACCAGGAACCTTTAAATGGTTCTCAAATTTTCATTTTCACGCGGCTTTTAAAAACACGACAGCTTTAATGGCATCTGGGCAAGTGAAGGTCGCCGGCGCGTGATCAATGAAATATTTATGGAGTCAACGAACAAAATTCTAATTACGATAACACCCTCTTTGAGATGCCATTTGTCAAGCAGGTGTTTTTTTTTTTGAACAGTATTTTTTTTTTTTACGATATCTATTTTATTTAACTATGCTTATTTTTTGGTAAAATGAAGTATATCTCCTTTGGTAGCCCACTTGCCAGGAAAGAAGATAATATGAGAATATAACTTGCACCGATTGGTCATTTTTATTTTCATTTTTTATTTGATTTACTAGATAATGGATTTAAATCTTACTATTTCTCACATTCATTAATACTTTCTCTGATCTTATTTATAAGATAAAAATAAAAAAAATAAAATTTTTATCAAAAATTTTTTATTAAACAAAATTTTTAAATTTGTTTTTTACCTAAATAATTATTTTTATTTTTATTAATCTAATCAATATTCTATCATTTATGTTAGCAAACTTGGAAAACTAAATTCTTATTTGTTCGTAGTTTTGAACGGTTACTAAACATGTTAAAGATATAGAATCTTAAATGTGCATAAAAGGTCCAAGAGTTCCTTCACCTTAATTTACTAATATGTGAAGGTGCAAGGATAATTGAAAAGGTGTAGTTTGATTATTGAAACTAAGTTATAGTATTACAAGGAATTGAAATAATAACTAAATTCTAAGTATAAAATACAAAATAATTTAAGTAATAAAATGTTTGAATGAGTTATTAATTGTTCATTATTGTTTTCTTTCCTCTTTCAAGTGCTCTATGTATAGTGTCGGTCTGAAGCTACTATGTCCACAAAACAAGGATCTTAGCTGTATTGTGTCAAAATACTAGTTCTCACTAATCATGGTCTTGCGAGATTTACGGCACGTTCAAATAATAGTTTTTCTAACTTAATTATTATGAGTCTTAAGAGTCATGTTTCCTCTACAATTTAGTACTTACTTAGTTTAAAAAGTCTCTTTTTAAATGAATTAAGCATTGTCTTGGTAGATGATTTATTAGGCTTGACGCTTCACTTTTTGTATTTTTGGAATTTTGTCAATCAATGCTTTGTTTACGCTCAAACATTATTTGTATTTTTATTTACTAAATAAAGGATTTAAATCTTACTATTTGTTACATGCATTCACCAATAAGTTATCTTAGTGTACCCGCGTTCTGAAATTGTTTACACTGATTTCATTCTTAAAATGCTAAGCCCATGTTTAACACACATCTACTCAAAAAAAACTTCTAAAATACCTTCTATAAAAGTATTTTTTAAAGGATTGGATGTTAAAAATTATAGAGCATTTTTAATATTTTAGATGTAATTATTACATTTTTTTTAAAAATACTCATAATAAATAAATTATTTTTTATTTATTTTAGAATAAAACACCTATTAATAAAAATAAATATAAAAAGATAATATTAATTTAAAGTTAAATGACTACTTTATTAAAAGGTAAAATTTTATTAAAATATTTTATATTTTTTAATAGGATGAGTGTTTGCTATGATGTAAAGGTATGATTTTATTGGGGGGGGGGGGTCAAATTGTATTATCAAGATTTAATAAAGACTCTTGAAAAAATGTTTGTTTCCTTCCTGCGACGTACAATGCTTTGTTTCTTTATAGTGAAACTTGTGATATATAATCTTCATTTAGATTAATTGTTTGCGTACAGTTCTAATTTTTGATGACAAAATCATAACCATGAGTCAATCTATCTTGAACATACATGTTCTATTTCTTCATTAGTTAAGATAATATCAAATTTTACTATAATTTAAGTTATCTAATACACTAATTTTCTTAAACTAAGTACATGACTTTAACGGACAAACTCACCCATTTAAAAATATAAAATATTTTTTATGAACTGAGATGTTAAGAATATAAAATATTTTAAATTTTTTAATATATAATTAATGAAATTTTTTAATTAAGATATTCTAATAAATAAGGATAAATATAAAAAAAAATATGTAACTTTAAAGACAATCAACTAACTTATATAAAGATGTGATTCAATTAAAAATATTTTATAATATTGAATAGAGAGAATATATTTGTAAGTGATTGATGCCGGCAACCATGAGATGATTTTTTTTAAAAAAAAGTATTTTGATAAATACACTATAAAATATTAACAATTAAAGCCTATGACATTTCAAAGTTATATTTACATTTCATGAAACTTTTTGATAATTATAATTTTTGTAAGGGACCTTTGTACGTATGATTTTTTCCTATCTATTTTTAACCCAAAAAAAGGAAGCACGGTTAGTAAGATTGGCATTTTGGAGGGGCAAATAAAGTGTCTATTTAAATTTTAATTGAGTATAATAAATTATAAAAATGATTGATTAAATGATAAATTTTAATCATAATTAATTATATTATAATACAATTTGTTAGGATACAGTTTTTTTAAAATTAATTTTAACAGAGTTAAAAATATTTAAATAATTTATTCAGAATTAATTTTAACTATATAAATTACCATAAAATACATTACCTTTTAAAATTAAATTACTGATAAATTTGTATCTAATATTATTATAGTTGTTACATTTTATTTAAGAAGTAAAATATATTATTTAAATTATATATTGATTTAATTAAAAATTTAAATTATATTAATATTAACCTTTAAATTTATGTAAATAAATAACTCAGTATATGTTAGTTAAAATAAATTTAATAAAGTGAAAAGATTTAATTTTTAAATATTAAATATCAATTTTATAATAATCAATGAAGACAATAATATACATATTGATTTCTAATGATATCATGGACATGAGTTATATTTAATGAAGATATTAGCAACATAAAAACTATAACAATGTAACGAATGACGCAAAATCTCTCTCTCTATAGATCTTTGCAACAATCTTTATAATAATCCTAAATTTTAAATTAAATGAAATTAATTTTTCTTTATCAATTAATATTTTATTTAAATTAGTTTTATAGCAAGTATTAAGTGGAGGATGTTGATTGACAGGAATTTATACTAATAACTTTTTAAAGATCTAAAATTAAAATTTTATTAAGAAAAAAAAAGAGAAGAGAAGAGAGTTTGATTTTATTTTTATTAAATTTTGAGTATTTTTTATAGTTTTTTTCTGGATTTTTTTTATAATTTTTTCCAATACTTTTTGATAAAGCTCAAATCTCTAGCTTTCCAAAGTAATCGTTTTTAACCAAAAAAATCAATTATGGGCTGTTTCAAGTGTTTGGATAATAGCTCAAAAAAATCAATTTTTTTAGTCAAAAAATCGATTATATACGTATCCAAACACGCAGAAAAGCGTGGGGATAGAGGCTTGAATGCTGGCAATCAGGCCATATGCAGATCTGGCAAAAAGATTTTCAAGAATCGTGGATTGGAGGGAGGCACTCTTTTTGTTGGAATACAATTTTGCATCTCTGTTATACCAAACCTTATTGTTCACAAAACCCATTAATGTGCTTGGCGTCCTATACCAACTTTTTGGTTAATAATAATATATGTATATATATGTTCAAATATTGTTGTTACCACTGTGTAGGTGGTTCAAGCCTCACAACTATTTAATAGAAAAGATGACAGGTTTTTAATAAAAAATAATTTTAAAAAATTATTTAAATAAATATTACCTCATTTTTTAATATAAGATGTCCAGTGTTAAAGGAGTAAAAAAAAAACCTGGGAGGAAAAATAATCTTTTGTTGTCAAATACGAGGAATTTGTCGCGGTGTCATTAGTGTTCCGTGAGCGGTCTTTGAGCATTGAGTTTTGGCCATGATTGATGTGATGGGCTTCCGAGATCCAGCTTTCACGGTCCAGGGGGAATCAACGATGATAATAATTGAACGTTTATGATATTGTTATACATAGCAATAGCAATTTAGGCATTTGGACAAGGATATGAACGCGTTGATTCCAGTCACGTTACCATTCTAACTATTTTAATATATTCATGTGACTCACTGAGTAAATAATATGGCGACAGATATTTTGATTGGACCGTAATTAGACGTGAAATTCAAAAATAAAGTTGAAATGGTACAGGATTAATGAGTAAGGGATAGGATAAAATAATAATGATTCAATGAACAGAATAAAGCCACAGTCCAGTTAACAAAAGTTTGTTCGGTTAATAAAGATTTAAATTATAACTCATAAAATATATTGTAAATTAAAATTTTTGATGTGAGAAATTTATTAATAAATAATTTTATAAATATTTTTGTAAATATCTTTTGACTCTAAAGACATTGTTTGACTCTCACGAGCTCTCAGAATTCAATTTATTTAAAAAAAAATTATCAATGAAAGAAAGAAGAAGTTAGATTTATTTGATTTATGAATGATAAATAATAAATAACAAAGTAGAAGTATGGTTAAAAATATTTATAAAAATTAGCAAATGTCCTTATATTTTAAACTACACAAGATTTTTTGGAAATGCTCTATACTGTAGTTAGAATTGAGAATTGTACAACAAATACAAGCATTGAAACATTGCAAAGTATTCTCCGTTCAAAAATATTAAATATTTTTAATTGAATCTCACCCTCAATAAAGTAGTTAGTTACTTTCAAATTAACTATATCTTTTTATATTTACTCATATTAAACACCCTATAATAAAAATAAAGTCATTAATAATAGAGATATTTTTGAAAAAAAAAGATAATGATTACATCTTGAAAGACTAAAAATACTTTATAATTTTTTAATATTCAATTTTTAAAAAATAACTTATATTTTTAAATAGTAGAAGTAATTAATATGCATATAATACCATATATTGACAAAAGCAACGTTCATAAGTAAGATGCAAAAGATATGAGTTAG